AACAGAGCCGGAGGTGGCACCTTCCTCAAAGGTCCTGCCCAGAAGCCCACAGGGAGGCAGCTCCCACTGTCCCCAGCAGGCGGGCCCAGCTTTGGCCCTGCCCACATTTCCCTGGAAGCCCCCACCATGCCCCCACCCCGCTGGATTTTTTTCCGCTAACATCCTCAGAATGGATATGGGGACTGCTTTTTGGCCTCTCTCCCCCCAGAGGCACAGTGAGAAAGACAGGCGGCGCAGAGTGAGGAGGGGAGACCGTTCCATGGCACGAGCACAGCTGGACCCTCGAGCTCGGTCCAGCTCCACCTGGGCCCCACAGCAACTGTCCCCTGAAGCCCCTCAGACTGTCTGACCCACCCCCGCCCCGTGTCCCACAGTGACTGCTGTGTGCTGGTTCCTGGGACAGGCCCTTCCCTTCCCCGGGCAACCCGTTTCCCCCTGTCTGGGGCAGGGCACAGCGCGGCCTCCTGTCCAGCCCGCCTTGTCCTATATAGGCCCTCAGCTCTGGCCGCACGGCCCACTGGACATTGTCGCCTTGCTGCCGCCGGGACAAGCCTGGAACCTAACCCTTAGTAAACTCGATGGAACGATGCAGCTCTCAGCCTCCTTCCATCTCCCTCAGTCCTGAGAAATTTTATGTAACAGAGAGAATCGAGGGAGTGGAGAAAGACAGATACCTACAGAGGTGGAGGAGGGTGGGGAGTGGGAAACCGGGAGGGCGGCGAGGCTTGGCGAGTTCTGACCTATGGCTGGACTCACGCCCACAGCCTGACCAGGGCCACTGCTGGCCCAGTTGGCCATTTAAGCCAGTTAGAGAGTGGCACCCTCACACCCTGAGCCAGGTGCCCAGTGCAGGGCCCAACCTGCACAGCAGGGCATGGCAGCCCCCGCCTGGCTGGCTGTGCACCCAGGAGGGGATGGCATCTTTAAATGCCACCCACTCCTCAGGTCTGACCCACAGATGCTCTGTGGTTCCCTCGAAGCCTTTCAGAAATGCAGGTCCTCTCCCGGTGGTGTGAGCCTGAGCCCAGCCCTTTGAGCTTGCCCCCCGGGCCTTCCCCCACAGCACATCCTAAGGCCCTGTCACCACTGCCTTTGCCACCCACCCACAGAGACCAGCCTCGGACCCTGACCGTCTGGGAAAGCCCCCCACACAGACCTGTGCCAGCCACGCCTCGC